AGCTTGCTCCTCTGATGCTGCTTGGCCTGCTGTGTTCATCCAGCTCTACACCTTGTTATCTCAGATTCTCCAGCATCTGCAGTTCCTACTATCTCTGATACAGTTACTGCACTGTTTGATGTTGAAGAAGAGGGAGCTGGAATGATTAGGGAAGAGATCACTTAGATTTTACAAAATAAGATTTGAGCTTTACAGCAAAGCCAGCATTTATTGCCTATTCCTAACTGCCCTTGAGGAGGTAGTGGTGAGCTAAATTATTGAAGGTTTCCTATTCATGTGGTTTGCATATATCCAAAGTGCTTTTGGAGAGGGAGCTCTGGGAATTTGACCCAGCGGCCGTGAGAGAACAGCAATATATTTCCAAGTCAGGATGATGTGTGTGAGGGACATGGCAATGAACTTGCAGGTAGGTGGTATCTGCCAACATGGTCCTTCTAATTGGTTGTGAATTTGGAAGATGCTGTTGGTCGAGTCTTGGTGAGCTGCTGCAGTGCATCTTGTAGATGGTACACGCTGCTGCCACTGTATATCAATTGTGGAGGGTGTGAATGTTTGTGGATGTGCTGTCAATGCAATGGGCTGCTTTGTCCTCGGCAGTGTATGGAACATCTTGAGTGTTATTGGAACTGCAGTCATCCAGGCAAGTGGAGAGTATTCCATCACACTCCTGACTTGTGCCTGAGATGGTAGACAGGCTTCGGGGAGCCTGGAGGTGAGTTACTCGCCTCAGTATTCTAAGATTCCAACCTGCTCTTGTCACCGCTGTATTTATGTGGTGGGTTCAGTTGAGTTTCTGGTCAATAGTAACTCCCAAGATGATGATGTTGGATCCAGAGATAACAAGGCAACTGAACACCAAGGGGAGATGGTTCAATATTCTATTGTTTGGGATGGTCATTTCCTCTCATTTACATGGCGTCAAAATTGCTTGTGGCTTATCAGCCTAAACCCGAAAGTTATTCAGGTCTGGCTGCATATGGGGACAGGCTAGATCTGAAGAGTCATGGCTGGATCGATCAACATACCTACACCTAACCTTTTGATGGGAAGAATTTTACTGATGAAGTATCTGATGATGGGTAGATGTATCCTACATCCCTGGAGAATTCCTGCAATTATTCCCGGATTAAGAGTTTTGTAGGGCAACACCACATCCTTCATGCAAACGATAACTCCAACCAGGCTCCCACCACCTCCCCAACCCGCACTACATCCCGCCGCCCCACCCAACTTCAGCTTTGCTAGGGTTCCTTGATGCCACACTTGATTAAATGTGATCTTTCTGTCAAGGGCAGTCACTCTCATCTCTCTCCTTACATAAGCTTACTTTATTATACTCTCACCTCTCTTTTGGCCATGTTTGAAGTCACACAACACCAAATCATAGTCCAACAGGTTTATTTGGAATCACATAAACTTTCTGAGCACAGCCCCTTCGTCAGGTGCAGTGAGAGAGCAGAACACACAGACATACAGTTTATAGGCAGAGAGATCAAGGGCAGTGAGATCAAAAGATCATACAACTGGTGTGAGTGGAGTGTCAGATAATACGTCCTTGCAGGTGACTAAGAGTGTTAGATGGTGTGTAAAGTGTTTATAAAGTCAATGTTAGTGCTGTGCTGTCATGAAAATCAGTCAGAGCCATAGGAATATGCAAAAGGTGACATCTCAGGTCAGATACTGAATTGTAGGTGTGAAGCTTTGTTCAGAATCTGTCTCAGAGTTTTAACCGGAAAACAGGCTGGTTTTATTCCAAAAACTGGAATTTATTAGATGCCACAATGACTGACTGTGACTACAAATTGTGTGTTTTTTGAAAAATATAGAAGGTATCTGCAAATAAACAGACATCGTCCTATAGATTTTTGTGCGTGTGCGTGCGTGTGTAAGAGAGAGACAGAGAGAGGGCGAGAGGGGGAGAGAGAGGGAGTGTGTGTGTGTGTGTGTGTGTGTGTGTGAGAGAGAGAGAGAGAGAGAGAGAAAGAGAGAGTGTGAGGGGGGGAGAGAGGGAGTCTGTGTGTGTGTGTGTGTGTGTGTATGTGTTGTGTGTGTGTGTGTGTGAGAGAGACAGAGAGAGGGTGTGAGGGGGAGAGAGAGGGAGTGCATGTGTGTGTGTGTGTGTGTGTGTGTGTGAGAGAGAGAGAGAGAGAGAGAAAGAGAGAGAGTGTGAGGGGGGGAGAGAGGGAGTCTGTGTGTGTGTGTGTGTGTGTGTATGTGCGCGTGTGTGTGTATGACAGAGAGAGAGAAATGAGAAAGTGTAGTAGCTAGGGACAACTATTACCAGGTTCAATTCCACTCTCGGGTGACTGTGTGGAGTTTGCACGTTCTCCTCTTGTCTGTGTGGGTTTGCTCCTGTGCTACGGTTTCCTCCCACAGTCCAAAGATGTGAGAGTTAGGTGGATTTGCCATGCTAAATTGCCCTTAGTGTCCAGTGACATGCAGGCTTAGGTGGGTTAGTTGTGGAAAGTGCACAGTTACGGGGGTAGGGTGTAGGTCTGGTATTGGATCCTCTTTGGATGGTTGGTGTGGACTTGATGGGCTGAATGGCCTGCTTCCTCACTGTAGGGATTCAAAGATTCTTCCAGACTGTAGAGATTCTAATTGAGGGTGGATTGACTAGGAATTGATTAGCCAGATTAGAATTGTCAATTTTACCACGTACAATATCTGAATAGTCCTTCCGAACAGTTGTTGATCGCCTGAGAGAGCGAGGAGGAATTTCTTACAATTATTGGCCCTGGCTGCTACCTTTTTACTTCTCTGCCTCTCCAAGGAGATTTTGTGGCTGTGAGAGTGTGTGGGCAATGTCTGGATGGGAGAGAAGAAGTGCCCAGTCAGGGTATTCCAGGCATCAGAATGCGCAACAGGCCAGAAATACTAGCCAGCCATTTCTTGATTCTCAGACCGTTAGCTCTAGGTGACCTGTGAGTGCATTGTGCAGGTGTGTGAACAAACAGCTATCCCTACTCCCTTACCTCCTTCCCACAGGTCTCCCCATCCAGAAATCCAGCAAATGGACCCAGTAGGAAAGGTTTGCCCATAATTTGGCAAACATACTGGTCTTATCGAATCTAATGTCAGAACAAAATATTGGAGCTGTTAGCTACAAGTGGAATCATTTTAAATCCAATTCATAAATGGGCTAGTTCCGTCTTTTCTAACCTCAAGGTTTCTCAGGTTTGTTTGTGCTATCCCACTAAAGAACTAAAAAGACTTGCATTTATACAGCACCTCATCACATCTCTTAGAAACACCTCAAGCTGTGAACTAATTTAAAGTGGAATGATTCCTGATATTCCTGTTGATACATATGGGATCTGTTCATAGCATAATGAGAATGTATAGGGTAATGTAATGGTGTTGTATTCATTATAGTAGTGATGGCAACAGCAGTCACATGAAGATAGGATGGAATAGTCTGTCCTAGTGAGAGATGTACCCACATATTACGTACAATGTGTAAATAAAAGAATTTGCAAAAACTGAAACAGATAGTAATCAGTCATAGGTAAGGCAAAACAATTACAGGCCACAGGCTGCCAGAATCATCTTTCTGATGTGCAGAAGTGAACCGGGAGAGACAAGTTTTGTGGCACCATAAACCACTGACTGCAGTCTTTGATGTTCTTGACTTCTGTCCTTCCTTTTCAATTTCTCGCCATCGTTATGCAGACAGGTGGGACGACACTTGCCTGGTTCCATTCTAATTCACCCAGAATCCTCTAGCATCCTTCCTTGGCCCACTCCGATTTCCCCTTTACGCGCTGCTCCAAGGTGGCATCGTTTGAAACATGGTGCTAGCTTTCCACGTGTTAGCTGATAACACCGAGCTTGAGCTCATCACCATCTCTCACAAGCCATTTCTAAACTGTGAGACTGCTTATCAACCTCCAGAGCTCAACGAGCAGAAACTTCCACCAATTAAATATTTGGAAGGCTAAAGCCATTGTCAGAAGCCTGCAACAGACCCATCCATCAAGACCAATTCCATCCATCTCTCAGACTGGATCTAAAGGACATTGCTGCCAGTTTGGGTCTATGGAAGGTAGTTCCCTCATCCTCAGGTGTTTGTAGTATAGGAATTTATTGCCACTTGCGCTTATGAAAATACAGGGAAAAGTGTGCAGGTCGCCATAATCCGGTGCCATATTAAATACGGAAATTATAAAATTAAATACATGAGACAAAGTTAAGATGAAGTCTGTTTTTTGTTCCATCCATAGCTCCTGGGTCTCTGAAGTGGCTACAGGACGATGGTAGCTGAAGGTGCAAGGACCAGATCCCAAATGCCAAAGATTGCAGCTGGAAGTGCTCCCTGCTAGGCCTGTCCGCTCCCACTTGCCTGTCTGGCTGCATCCTTCTTTCTTTTTCATTTCTTCACTTATCTTTTGTATTAAATTCACTTTTTTTTCTTCTCTTCTGCAGCCGCGGTGAAGGAGGGAGATTGGGGAAAGCTGCTGCTGCAACAGATCCGGTCCGAGTCCACATGGCCCTGGCAGCCGCGGCTTGAACAATGCAGCGCGGTGATTCCATTTCCTCGGGAATTTGGACCTTCCCTCGGTCCTCAGGAGTTGGGAGGGAACCCGGTACTTGGGTGTTGGGACAGTCTCTGGTGGCGGCCAGAGTCATGGCGGCTTGATAGATGGCTTTAGGGTCAGTGACTTGGTGGTTCATTTCCACTCTCCTGTCGGCGATGCGGCAGCATCGGCTTTGATTGTGATTCCTGTCAAAATGTTCCTGCGGTGGTAGCAGGAGGTTTCTTCAACAGGGTCAGAGGCAATGTGGATTGTATTTAACATCATTCTCACTGATCCACCTGCCACTGACAGTATTGGTAAGAGTCCTTTTGGAGACAAAGTCACCTCCTGACATCGAGGATACCCTCCAGCATGTTGTGTGATGCTATCACCATGCTAAATGGCTAGATTTTGAAAAGGTGTAGCAACGCAAGAAACAGAGCAGTCACTTTGAGCCAACAACAACAGCAGAACTGTGCTCCAGCACACAATCTGCAAACTCATGGCTTGGCACATCCCCCACTCAACCATTACCATCAAGCCAGAGAATCAACTCTGGTTCAATGGAGAGTGCAGGAGGGCATGCCAGGAGCAGCACCAAGCATATCTGAGGGTGAGGTGTCAACCTGGTGAAGCCACCAAACAGGAATACTTAAAATTTCAAACACTGGAAGCAGCTTGCGATAGACAGGATCAAGTGACTTGTTATGGACCAGACCAGAACCCCTCACAATAATTTAAGAAGGCAGCCCAGATCCTAACTTATTTCTTATTTTAAAGGTAGATGTGTACTGCTTGTTCCAGATATGATGCAACTGGTCAAACCACTCAACGTTAAGCAAAGCACAATTTATTTAATACTATAGTTAAGATACAAACAAAAGAAAGAGGAATTTAGAATAACTTACTCATGGAAAACTTAACCGAATAATAAACAGTAACTATTACTAATTAACTGTTCCAATATAGTAACATCCCATAAACACACCTCGTGGCAAAAAGGTAAATTCAGACACAGATTCTTACATGCCGTTCAACATCAAGAGAGATTTCAGGGAAAGTCACAGTTAAGAATCATTTTACTGAAGCTTCAGAGACCCAAACAGCTTCTGACTGCTACAGCTAAAAAGCACTAGAAAGCCTGATCAGGGAGAACTGGCCATTCCCCTTCCATTGTTACATCTGTTTTTAAAACAAATCTAAAGGCCTCTTAAATTATTGACTTAGGCCAGCTCCAGTGGACACTTCTGAACCTCTGCCTTTACAATCTTTCTTCAAAAAACCCCGGACAAAATAACCTTTTTAAAGTGATGGTATCATCACAAATAAATCAGATCTCAGCTTTGCAGTCCTGCCTCATCCATTTATGAATGGTGGTAGACAATGTAACATGATACAGGAGGATAGGGTTCCACATTATCCCGTCCCCAGCGTTGGTGGAGCCAAGCACGTCAGTGAAAGTGACAAGGCTGAAGCACTTTCATCCATCTTCAGCCAAAAATAATGAGTGGATGATCCATCTCGGCCTCCTCCAGAAGCCCCCCGTATCAGACACCATTTTTCAGCCACCTCAATTCACCCCATGTGATATCAAGAAATGGCTGAAGACAGTGGACCTTGACAACATTTCAGCAGCGATACTGAAGACTCATGCTCTCAAAGTAGCTGTGTCTTCCACCTTATAATTCATCTTTTGTTATGTACTCTCCTTCACTTCCCTGCCTGTATACCAGCAAGTCTTGTCTCTAATTTTTTTCTAATTCTCTACAGATGCAGCGTGATCTGCCAAACTTTCTATCATCCAACTCCAAGAGGTGATCATCATTGTTAAAGGCCAGCATTTGCTTCCCATCCCTAATTGTCCTTAAGGAGGTGGGGAGCTGACTTCTTGAGCTGCGGGAATCCATGTGGTGTAGCTATATTCACAGTGTTATTGAGGATATGGAGCCAGTATGAATGGTGATATATTTCTAAGCCAAAGTGGTAAGTGTCTTGGAGAGGACAGGTGGTCCTTCAGTCTTCCAGGTGGTAGAGGTTGCTAGTTTAGAAGAGACTGTTGAAGGGATCTTGGCAATGTGATGCTGCGTATGTTGTAGCCCTTTCATTAACTCCAAACAAATTAAAGGCACTATATAAATACAAGTCATTTTCGTTGTTTGTTATTTGGTCATTAAACTATTGGATGAAGAGTACGATTAACCAGGTGGGACAATTCAGTTGGAAGGTCATCTGATCAAATTTCTGAGTAAATTCAATCCCCAGAGTTAATAATCCAAGGAGTGCAGAGGGGAGATGAGCTAAGCATTTTCACAAAATATACTGCAAATTACCTGAAAACATGAAGGGACTTTTTAGCTTCAGTAATGCTATGTCATAATCTTTGTTTACTTTGTTAAACTTTTCATGGATGATAAATTTATCTACAGAGCGTGGATTTATGACATGTGTTTCAGATTGTTGTAGAATGCCACCATACACAAGCCAGTGGGAAGGGAAGGGATGCCTGCAAAAAAGCAAGGGATAAAAGACGTATTATAATAACCGCCTCCAAATCTTGTAAAATCTACTTAGAGCTTTCAAAACAACAATGTACAGTGTACACTACTGAGGCAAGACACTGTTCCCCTTTGGTAAAATATGATTTGATTGAAACACATAAGATCATAGAATCCTTACAGTGTGGAAGCAGGCCATTCAGCCTATCAAGTCCACACCAACCCTCCGAAAAGTCTCCCACCCAGACCCACCCTGTAACCCTGCATTTCCCATGGCTGATCCACCTAGCCTGCACATCCCTGGACACTATGGGCAATTTAGCATGGCCAATCCACCCTAACCGCCACATCTTTGGACTGTGGGAGGAAACCCACACAGACACAGGGAGAATGTGCAAATTCTCCACAGTCGCCTGAGGGCAGAATTAAACCCAGGTCCCTGGCGCTGTGAGACAGCAGTACTAACCACTGAGCTACCATGCCACCCCTTCCTGAGGGAACATGTGAAGAGGATATTTCCTCTTGTGGGAGCATCTGGAACAAAAGGGCCCTGATTAAAATGAAGGGGGTTGGGGTCCGTTCGCTGGACTGTGTTGGTTTCTGATGCAGAATGACACCGATAACACAGGTCCAGTTCCCACACTAGTTAAGGTCAGCATGCACTGCCCTCTTATACTCGCCCGAGGCAACTTGACCCCAAGGGTAAGCTCTTCGGAGACTTGATGCTCCCTTCCTCAAAAGGTTGTGGAAGACCTTTGGATACTTTTAAGGCAGAGCTGGATAGATTCTCGTCAAACAAGGAGGTGAAAGGTCAAATGGGGGAGACGAATCAGCTCAGCCATGATCTTATAGAATAGTGGAGCAGGGTCAAGGGGCTGAGGGGCCTACCATTTGATTTTGAGTTTGAGGTTGTTTTTGGTTTGGTGCCCCAGAACGGGTCTGTATTATTTTCCCTTCATATCAACTTTGGACTCCTTGAAAGAGCCAAGGGGTCTTTTATTTTAATCCGATGTTATCCCTGTCCCAGAAGTGCTTGATAGGGTTGGTGCAAGGGGATATTTATTTTCATTTGCAATAGGTGGAGGTACCTTTCCCTCTGACCTTTAGACCATTGTTGTTCCTGTTCTGGGAGGGTTCGATGGAGACGGAGCTGAGGGGGTCTGGTTTTTAGTCTTATTTTCAATTGACAATGTTTATTCGACTCCTTATTGTCTCAACCCCCGGTGTGATTAGTGGGGATAGAGTCAAGGAAAGCCTTTTTTTTAATTCATTTGTTTTCTTTTTCCCCAGAGAGTGACTGGAACTTTCTTTCAGTTTGAGAGTCTTTATTCATTCACGGGATGAGGGCGTCGCTGGCTCAGCTAGCATTTATTGCCCATCCCTAATTGCCCAGAGGACAGTTAAAAGTCAACCACATTGCTGTGGGTCTGGGAGTCACATGAAAGCCAGACCAGGTAAAGATGGCAGTTTCCTTCCCTAAAGGGCATTAGTGAACCAGATGGGTTTTTCCTGTCAATCAACAATGAATTCATGGTATCATTAGATTCTGAATCCAGATATTTTATTGAATTCAAATTCCACCATCTGCCGTGGCAGGATTCAAACCCAGGCCCCCAGAACATTATCTGGGTCTCTTGATTAACAGTCCAGCGATAATACCACTAGGCCATCACTTCCCCATACCTTTTGAAAGAATTGAGGAGCCTGCTCCTGCTCTTCATTAGTAGATAGGTCTGCCTCTGTCCTTATGTTCTACACACAATCCTCTACCTCTGATTCAGTCCAATGTCAGATATTTTCAAAACAGCCTGTTGAGACACATTATAACACACCTCTGGAGCAGAAAGAGTTTGAATGTGGGTCCAACCTAATTCCATTATTTTAAAGTGCTAAAGCATTCGAAAGTGTTTCAGGTGAGATCAATCAGGCTAGATTGGATAATGAGGACTCTAATGGTGTAGTGGTAGAATCACTACCTCTCGAGCCAGGAGATCTGGGTTCAAATCCCACCTTCTCTAGAGGTGCATAATAATATCTCTGAGTGGGTTGCTTCAAAAAGTATCCATAGTGGGCACTGACCCTCAATAAGCAGTCCTCAACGTTCAATATGTGGATCCCCAAGTCTGTATTCATCCCAGATCTTTAACTTAATTCGATAAGTTTCCCCTAGGCATGAGTGACTGCTGTTTGCAGCTCCATAAACTGAGGATATGCGATTCCCCTGACTTCTCCAGGCCCTACAGAACAGACTATTGCCCACTCCCTGCACTGTAGCCAGACAGATCCACTAACTGCCCCAGAGCAGACAAGTAACTATCGCCAAATCCTTGGATTGGGTGTGGAGTCTACCCTAACAGTACCTGACCAGCAGCACGCCTCACATGGTTGGACTGAGGACTACTTGTTTCTAATACATTTATGTTGCTTGTAATAATATATCAATGATTTGGAGGAGGAATGTATGTGGCCTCATTAGTAATTTTGCAGATGACACAAAGATTGAGGGAAGCTGCTGATATTGAGGAGGATTGCCAGAGGATACAGCAGGATATAGATAGGCTGGAGACTTGGGCGGAGAAATGGCAGACGGAGTTTAATCCAGACAAATGTGAGGTGATGCATTTTGGAAGATCTCATGCAGGAGGGAAGTATACAGTAATTAGCAGAACCCTTAGTAGCATCAACATACAGAGGGAACTAGGTGTATAGATCCACAGTTCCCTGAAAGTCACAACACAATTGGATAAGGTCATCAAGAAGGCATATGGCATGCTTGCCTTCATCAGTTGTGGCACAGAGTATAAAAATTGGCAAGTCATATAGAACTTTACTTAGGCCACATTTGGAATACCATGTACAGTTCTGGTTGCCACAGTACAAGAAGGATGTGGAGGCTTTGAAGAGGTTACCAAAAGGATTTACGAGTATGTTGCCTTGTTTGGAGGGTATTAGCCATGGACAAGAGATTGGACAAACTTTGTTTGTATTTGTTTGAATGTTGGAGGCTGAGGGGTGACCTGATAGAAGCTAATAAAATTATGACAGGGATCAATAGAATGGATAGTCGGAGCCTTCACCCCAGGGTAGAAATTTCAATTACTAGGGGACATAAGTTTAAGGTAAAAGGGGGTAAGTTGAAAAGAGAAGTGAGAGAGGGACATGCCTGGAATGTGGTGCCAGAGGAGGTGGTGGAGGCTGATGCAATAGCAACATTTAAGAGGCATCTTGACAGATAGGCAGGGAATAGAGGGTTATGGACCACATGGTGGTAAAAGGTTTTTAGTTTAGAGAGACATCATGTGTCAGCACAGTCTTGGTTGGTCAAAGGGTCTGTTCATGTGTTATACTGTTCTTTGTTCTTTGTACCCCTGACATGGCCACAAGATGGATACATATGCAGTGTGTTTGCCATGCAAAAAGGAGACACATGCTGACCATGTTAGACTGACACCTCAGTGTGAAGTACAGCAAGATGTTTCACCCCTAGACAGGTTTATACTGACAAGTACAGCAAGCAGCCTGTCTGTGTGTCTGCATTAAACAGTGCTTCAGTACAGCAGTACTGATAGCCTTTAGCTCTAGCTGAAGCAGGCAAGACAAGGCGAGGGCCAAAATAGCTGGAGAATCTGGCAGCATCTGTTTAAAGAGAACAGAGTTAATATTTCAGGTCCGGTGACCCTTCTTCAGGACCCAGCATCTGCAGCTCTTTGTTTTGTATTTAGGCAAGGCACTCCATGGATGTTGCAAATATACAGACAGTCGCTAAGTGAGCGAGCGCTAAGAGTTCAAGTGAACAGCCCTGGGATGCAGTCTGGTCCAATCTGTAGGCTGGGGGCCTGTTCCTGCAAAGTGTCCCGACAGCATCTGTTCAATACTTGATATCAAAGCAGCCTGTCATGCTTGCGGAATGGCCTGCAAGTGGATCAGAGGGGTATCGTGATGGTTATGAGGGGTTAGCAAGATCCCATTGTACATAGACAAGGGGTGCATGCGCCCACAGCTCAGGCCATGTGCTGCTGAGCAACACAGAGGCTCCTTGCAGTCAGCAGTGAACTGAAGTCACCAGGGACCCACTCTGATTTCTCAATGTTTAGTGGTCAGTGTATATGGTAAGATAGAAAGCTGAATATTAATGAGGTACCTTGTATTCTCACTGCTTGACAATCACATAAGATATGCAGCGAGTTACTCCCGACATCACGACCTTTCACTTGATTCTGCCGTGAGCCTCACTGCAGACCAGCTTTATAAGACTTCAGTTAGGCCACACTGAAGGGTATTGCATTCAATTGTGTTCATCACACCACAGGAAAGATGTGGAGGCTTTGGAGGGGGTGTAGAAAAGGTTTACCAGCATGCTGCCTGGATTAGAGGGTATGAGCTATAAGGAGACGCTAGAAAAATTCAGGTTATTTTCTCTGGAGAAGCGGGGACTGAGGGGAGGCTTGATAGAAGTCTATAAAATTATGAGATGCATAGATAGAGCAGAATCTTTTTCCCAGACTTGAAATGTCTAATACGAGGGGACGTGCATTTGAGGTGAGAGGGGAAAGTTCAAAGGAGATCTGAGGGGCAAGTTTTTTTTTACACAGACAGTGGTAGGTGCCTGGAATGCACTGCCAGGGGTAGTAATGGAGGCAGATACAATAGGGGCGTTCAAAAGACTTTTAGATAAACACATGAATATGCAAGGAATGGAGGAATATGGACCAAGGGCAGGCAGAAGGGATTAGTTTAATTTGGCATCACGTTTGGCACAACATCATAAGACCGTAAGACTACAAGACATAGGAGCAGAAATTAGGCCATTCAGCCCATTGAGTCTGCTCCACCATTCAATCATGGCTGATAAGTTTCTCAATTCCATTCTCCTGCTTTCTCCATGTAACCCTTGATCCCTTTGATAACCAAGAACCTATCTATCTCCATCTTAAATATACTCAATGACCTAAGCTCTACAGCCTTCTGTGGCAATGAATTCCATAGATTCACCACTCTCTGGCTGAAG